AGGAGATTCAATGCCCTTTTCTGGCCTCAAAAGCACCTGTACACATATATATAAAATAAATAAAACCTAAGATGAAAAGACAACATAAGACATAAGAACTCTCTGTTAATGTTTGTGTGATGCGTTTACACCACTTAGACAGTTCCATGTATTAAACCCCTACAGATGAGCTTTAAATTGTGGTGATAAAGATCCCCAGATACCATCAAGAGATTAGAATTTATGGTAAGATGAGCTCCAGAAATCTAAATCCTTCTGTTGTGGTTTTAAGATCTGTCCCTATTTGTTTGTGGCAAAGTCTTCCTATGTAGACCAGGCTGACCTCAAACTCGGATCCTCCAGCCCCTGCTCCCAAGAGCAGAGATGAAAGGCTTGCAATCCACACCCTGTTTCCAAAGTTCAAACCTTAACAAGCATTCCCCAACTCCAAATAACAGAGTTCAGGAGGTCTGGGAATCACAAGTTACACACAGTTAAAGCCCTTACTTACAAGTCTAAACTAGGTCTAGCAAATATTCCCCTTGAAACAACCAGTTGTTCATTAAGACAGATAAAAGACTGAAGCCATGGTATAAACGCATGAGAAAAAATTACACAAAGAAAAGTCAGATTCTGCTCATCACAGTAACTGCACACTTCTATGTCTCAAAATTATGTAAAATGTGGGGACAGGGAGATGACTCAGCAGGTACAGACACTCGTCACTGGAGGCCAGGCAACCTGAGTCTCATCTCAGAACTCAGGAGAAGTAGAAGCAACAACTGTACAAAGCTGTCTTCCACAGCTCACCACGGCACGCGTGGATACACACAAATACACTTTTTTATTCAATTATGTAATATGTAAAAGGGGCTGGGGATGTGGCCCAGCTGGTAGCCTGCTTGTCTGGCATGCACAAAGCCCTGAGTGTAATTATCAGCATGTGTAAAATGGGACGCAGAGATGCATGCCTGCAATCCCAGCACTGGCGGGGTGGAGGCAGGAGGATCAGACCTTCAGGTCATCCTCAGCTACAGAGTGAGTTTGAGCCCAGCCTGAGTGAGTTATATTAGACCATGCCTCAAAAAATAATTAGCTAATTAATTAAATGTAAAGGGAAAACACTGGAAGGAGGAAAATAAAGTAGAAGAAACAATGACAAAATCCAAAGAATGCAAATACAAAATAAGCAAAAATTCAACACTAAAGAAATGCAAAATGTGAAAACTAAAAGAATATATTACTAATTTAGCAGATAAAACTGTTTAAAAATTATCAAAGGATCTACCTTTGATCCCAGCACTGGTTAGGAAGACGTAGGATCTCCGTGAGTTCAAGGCCTGCCCAGGATAGCCAGGACTACATAGAGAGATTCTGTGTCAGATAGACAGGTAGGTGGATGGATAGAAGGATGGATGGATGGGTGGATGGATGAGTGGATGGATGGATGGATGGATAGATGGATACATACATACATACATACATACATATATACATACATACACACACACATACAAATAGTCAATGGATGTAATGACAGACATCAGCTACATACACTTTTGTGGCTTTTTCCATCATTACAACTTTCAGAACACTGGTTCACTCAACAACCACATCCCGGGCATCCACAGAACACCTCACATTCCAAGCAAACACACAGGAAGCCAGCCTGACACCTGACAGTTAGTCACGTCATCATTCCCACATTACAAATACATATGTGCTTAAAAATAAAGACCTATAGATGAGGGAAAAATAGAGAGAGGCAACGACCGATCTATAAAGCTATTCACCATAATGTTTGCAGCTGCTTGGTTGGGCAGCGGTGGTGGTGGTGGCAGCTACATCGGCGGTAGCATCCCACGCCTTTAATACCAGCACACTGAAACCCAAGGCAGGAGGACTGTCACAGATTTAAAACTAGCCTGGTCTACACAGTAAGGCCTGGGTTATATAACAAAACTCTACCACAAAAACAAAACCTAACCCACTTATTGTGTTATGTATGGGCTGTGGAACTGTGGGTGAGCCACCCTCCCTCCTTTCTTGTCCTGGGGATGGAACCTAGGGCCTGTGCAAGCTATCCAACGCTATACCATTGCGCTAACCTAACCTCAAGTCCTGAGTCACTGTTTTCAGCACCTTTCTTTACTTTCTAGATTCTGCCATGCTGTCAATTTCATGATAACCCTAATTCTTAAGCAGAACTGTCCCTGAATGGGCCACTGTTCTCTCCTTCTCCATTGTGAGTGGCTGGCTACCTAAAAGCACTGTGTTCAAGAGAAACCTCCAAGCATTTCAGGTTGTTTCCACAACAGGGAATAGTCAAGACCAAACTCATAAATGTTTTCTTTTAAAAAAAAAAAAAAATGGTCACCAGGTGGGGATGGGCCTTTAATCCCAGAAACCCTGTCCAGAAAAGCAAAATAACAACAACAAAAATCATGCATTTAAAATGCTAAAGGAACTAGAAACAGACAACAAATCAATACAGCAGAGAGCTAGCGCTCCCTCCCCCGCTCTCTCTGAAAACTGTAATAATTGGACCACCTGAAAATCAAGTCCATCTCTGCTGAAGATGGGGAATGGTTAGCCAGACATGGGACTGCTGGCTTCCAGAGGAATTGTAAACAAGATGAAGGCATCACCCCCTTCCCCTCACCCCTATCACACCAGGCCAGCGTTCAGCAAAGTCTTCCGCCCATACTATTGTTCAAAGTAAGACACTGAGACTACAGGGTCCTGATGCCACTTGAGGGAAAACCTGGGCCAAACACACTACCTTGTCCCAGGACCTGTGCTGCTGGCTACGACCAGGTATCCCACAAGCAGCCTGGGCACCTTACCAGACACCATCCATTAAGTTCCCCAGAGCCTGCAATCAGATCACCGTCTTCACTTGGGTCATCCCTGGAGACACTCCTCCACCTTGCAGTTCACTCAGAGTGAACACACCCCCCCACACTTGCTCTGTTTTGAGGCCGGACCCCTGAAGCTGGATGCTGTGCACACACATTGCTTCTCACTCTGTGTTTCCTGACCAGAGGCAGCTATGCACACCAGAGAAGCAACTTAGTGAAAGGATGCCACCTCCGGCTCTGTGACATCAGCTGTAGAACAGACATAGAACTTCACATCTCCTAGTTGGATTTGGGATTTGGAGTAGCAGAGAACCAGAAAAGGGTTTCTAAACAAAGGGGGGCGGGGAGGCAGTATAGACACACCCACCGTGTCTTTAAGTCTAGCAAAACAACTTTATCTCCTACCTCTCCAGAATATTCAGATGACAATGTTCAAGTGGGAAAATGCTGGGGCCAGGGAGCTATGTGTCACAGACTCTGGAGCCCGACTCTCCGAAACACCTGTTAAGGGCCTCCTTGGTTAAGCAGAGGGTCATAAAACCTAACCCTTAGTGTGACTGGGTCAAGTAGCACCTGGCACAAACGTCAGTGAAAACAATTAGTGAGCTAGGTCCCATGATGGTCGAATCCAACGGAATCCAGCTTTCTCTGCTGACTAAAGTCAAGAGCTCTCAGAAGGACTAACCCCTCTCCGAGGAACCCTGGACTGGAACTCTCAGAGCGAGATTGAGACAGGAGGTGCTAGCTTAGGCAAAGTTTCTGCACCCACCATGCACAGCCTAGAAGAGGCCCACTCAGTCAACCCTACCTCAGCTCTGGCTCCTGAGGCAGCGTCCCACCCAGCTAGAGGAAATCTCTGGAGGCTTCAGCTATGACCCCAGCCTGTGGGTCACGAAAAGCAAAGGGGAATGGAGAGTTACAGCAATCCCTCTCACCATCCAGCCAGTGACCTTGAGCAAGACGCTTCTGCCTTAATGTCCTCCTGAGTGAGTGAACAGGTCTCATCCTGTGCTCCTTGGAGTCCCTGCCTCCATTCTACTTCACTGCCCCCTTTGTGGTGCTAGTTATAATGCCCACAGTAGGGCCTAAGGGACCTTCAAATGTGTTCTACTTCCTTCAAGCCACTTGGCAGTCCTCTTGCCCTGCTCCCACAAGCAGGAAGGGTTCTGGGCTGCCTTCATGGCTCTCCTGTGCTGCGTGAAGAAGCTCTCTCCACCCTAAACTGCTCCTTTCACCTTCCCTTTTCTACCCACAAAGCAACCAAGCATGTGTGTGCTGGGACAATCACAGGCTTGCACTGTGTCACCTCGGAGATGGTCTCCAGGCCATCCATCCACTGCACGCTCGGGGTGGACAAATAAACATTTCAGAGAAGCAACATGAATTAAACAATCTCCTCAACAAACAAAACCCACCCACACGCCCCATAAATCATGTCTCTTAATCCCATGCTGATGAACAGTCTCTAAATTGCATCTGTTATAAAACCAACCATGACTCGTTTCATGCCCTGACACTTCAGACTCAAAATATTTTCACACCCCATTGTAATGCCTTTGTAGAGGCAATACCAATAGCTAGTTCCCTGGAAAGATCCATGGCCAGGGCGCTTTCCAAGAGATTTTTCTTTGAATGTTCTTTGTGTCCTGGTGCACTGGGGGACACAGCCAGCTTGCTTGCATCTGGGGGAACACTGGCTGTTCTCGGCAATGCACAACTGCTCTACAGCACACACCAGATGCACCCCTTTGCCCCAACAATAAAAGTATCCCAAAACATTCGCTACGTCACATTCACACAGCCGTGCACAAACACAATCCCGGTGCCTGCATTTTGCAAAGAGGAAAAAGAAAATAGGCATCTTCAGAGCAGAAACCACCAGATCCGCCTCGGGCAACATGGTTCACGGAAGACTAGGTTGCAGACCTTTTAGCAAGACCGGTCAGAAACCGCTCGCTCTTTTCCTTTGCATTTATTCATTTCCTCCATGCCTTTATTTGCTGGGCCCAGGAAGAATAGAAAAGCATCTCCAGCAAGGAGGGCGAGGGAGCGGTGGAGAATAAAAGAGGATGGGCGGGTGGGGGAGCCAGGGGGTGACGAGCGCGGCAACGAAGGCGGCCAGGGTGGCAGCCACGTCCCGGGTGTCTCGGCAAGGCTTACCTGGGGCGCACGAGGCCGGCCCGGCGAGCAGCAGCAGCCAGAGGCCGGGGAGCAGCAGCCCCGGGCGGCGGTGGCGGGAGAAAGGCCCGCGGCCGCACCGCTCGGACACCAGTGCAACCCTGGCGCGGGGCTCCCGCTCCATGGCCACGCGTCGGCTCCCCGGCACCCCGGCCTCCCGGCGTGGGGCGCGCTCAGGCCCGGGACGCCGGCGGCCGCCGCGACGGAGACTGGTCGCCTCGCACCGGCGCGCAGTGAGGCCGGCGAGGCGGGGGCGGGCCGGGCCGGATCCACGGACTGGGGCCGCTGCACGCCGGCCGCGCCGCTCCGCCCCCTCCCGAGCCTCGCAGCCGCTGCCGGGCAACGCACGGCCCCGCGCGGGGAGGCGAGCACCACCCCGGCCGGCCCGGCGCCTGCCTGCGGGCGGCCCGGCGGAGGGCGAGGCGGGACCCGGTCCCCGCCCTCCCCCAGGACCCGCCTCTCAGGAGGGCGCCCGGGACGGCGCCGCCCCGCACCCGCACCCGCACTCCCCGGGCGCTGGAGAAACGGTCGCAAACCCGGTTGATTGTGGAGCACGCTCCTCCCGGGCCGCCCACGCGGGGCGGGCAGCAGGTGTGTGTGCGGGGCGGCCAAGGGCCCTGGCCGACCCGGGGCTGCCGAGCGGACAAAGCCGAAAGAAGTCAGCTCTCTACCCCAGAGCCCGTGCGCGCTGGAAAAGGCTGGGGAGGAGGCGCACAGGGCTCAGCCCATCCTTCGCCTTTCCAGAGCTCTGCCACCTTGCGAAGGTGGGCCTTTGGAGAGACCTGGGCCTACCGCCCCGAGCTTAGTGGGTTTTCAGAAAGGGGCTGCTGAAGCTGAATCGAGGCAGGCAGAAACAGACAAACACACAGATCCAGGCCGAGAAAGAAAGAAAAACAAAGAAGGAAGGAAGGAAGGAAGGAAGGAAGGAAGGAAGGAAGGAAGGAAGGAAGGAAGGAAGGAAGGAAGGAAGGAAGGAAGGAAGGGACTCCAATGCATGATGAAAAAGACCTTGTTGGCGGTTAGTTTCCCGGGGAAACGGGGCTGTGGATGAGTTAACATTTGTCTCTGTGCTAAGAGCCAAGTGCGTTAACTCTGAAGCTCGAGTAAGGTTGGAAGGTCTTGGAACACACCATAATTCTGGACAGCTACATTTCAGAGGTTGCACCAGCCATGGTCTGAAAGCTGAGCATTAAGAGAAGTATCTTGTTGACTGAGAAACTATGACAGACAGTGAGAAACGTGAGCCACCCAGACTGGCCAAAGGATCAAGGTTACTCTTCAGTGAGGTAGGCAAATAGATCCAGAAAAGCGCTACCCCGTTTTGCTGGGCAAACTCATTTATCTAGGCAAATAATCAAGAGTTCCTGTTCTGAAAAGGAGGGTTTGGGAGGACACCTGTTAAATTTCAGGGGAAATGAGAATCTAGGTTACAAGCTTTTGTAGATGAGCCTAATTTTTGTGCTCCATTGTGTCACCTGTCATAAGCAACCCCCATAAATGGCTCTCCTGCTCCCCCTCCCATCCACGGAGCTGTCTCCAGCATACCCAAGTGGAGATTCTGCTTGTCTGAGCATGTCTACACCCTGACCACAATAGCCCTAGGTATGACTCCCCTCTCTCCTGGCTTTCCTCTGAATTCCTTGTATACACAACTCAGCTGGCCACAGGCCACCCACCTGGAACAGCTCTTGGCTTTTAGTCCTATTGTGTTGTGTTACTTTTTTATGAACCTGTTAACACACACACACATACATACAAAGTTTAAATGACATTCTAACATGTTATCACCCCACACAGGATTCCCCACAGCCCCAGGAAGATTTCATTACATATTTATTGATGGGAATCTATGTGTCCTTTACAGTTGGCCTCAGCCTCCAGGAAGTTCCCATCTGCACTAGCCATCAGAGCGTGGGAGAAAAGGAATCTCCCACACCATTCTGACTCAGCTCAGACTCTGCTAAAAATAAACAAAAATGCAACCTTGGGCTAACAGGAAGGACCCCAGGGCATCAACTCTCTAAGGAAAAAGGGGATCCCTAGAGTCCCTTGGTATCCCTGCTATCAAAATGTAAACCCAACCTCTGTCAGGAATTAGAACGTTCTCCCTCAGTGTCTAGCAAAGTGACTCCTGGGGCTCAGCTGGCAGATAGTGTGACTCTGCAGACCCAGCAGGAATGAATGCTCAAGGTAAGCAGGAGTGTGTGTGTGTGTGTGTGTGTGTGTGTGTGTGTACATGCATGCCCCCATATCTAGTCACATGTCTGTGCACATTTGTATCTAAATATAAGGATTAACACCCAGCCTCAGAGCATTCATACAAAACTATGCAACGAACAGATCTAGTGGCTATCTCTTAGCATTTTATAAGACTTGTTAGTACTGGGAGGGGGATATAAAAGGAGATAGAAGCATTGATTACTAGACACCTTTTCACCCAATCGCATTTTATGTATAAATAAGTGAGAGACAGCTTTCCCTCAGCCACAAGTGAAGTACCAGCAATTAGGAGGGAGAGTCAGTGTGGCTCCTCAGCAGGCTTCTAGCCTGGTTTGGGGAGGGAGAGAAGTGGCGTCAGTTTTACTCTTAGATATAGGCAAAACAGGCACTGCTCTGGGCCTCTACCAGCTATACCTGGGCCCCACAGGCCCAAGAGTCTGAGGTGCCAAGGGAAAACCCACCAGGATCCATTCTTCCCTTGCCTGAGTGCCCAGGACCCCATAATTCCACTCCTTCAGCCTAACTCACTTCCAGAATCCGTGTGGTATCGTCCTGAGATCTGTCCTCCCAAAAGTGGGCCAATGGCTGTTGTGTCTGGCTACAGGGGGGACAGGGGTAATTGTCTGCAGGGCTGGTTATGGGGCTTTGATAGGTATAGAGGGTATCTACACAAATCCTGTAAGATGAAGCAAATAATCAAAGATGGAAAGACACACGGACTTTCCATGGTCACACGGACGGAGTGAATACTTTTGAGATGCATGGAGTCTTAAATTCTGCCCTTGAACTCAGCACACCAGGTTAGTAGGAGGGTCTGTACACAAAAGGGCAAAGATAGGTGTTTTATTTCAGTTTGCTTGCTCATCATAGACTTTGCTGATATTTCACTGTGGGCCGTGTGTTCTTTTCAGATGCCCTCTATCTACATGGCTCTGCTTCCTGATCTGCCCTGCCCTGAACAGGCAGGGCCATAACTCCTGTGCACAGGAATGTCCCTTATCTCCCCAACCACAACGAAATGATACCCCTGAAACCACAAGCCCAAGGACATTCTTTCTCCTCTACGTTGCTTCTGTCAGCATTTCCTCACAGTGATAGGAAAGGTAACTGATAAGAGGTCCACATGTCCTGTTAAGTTCCACTCACATTTTGAGCTCTTGCTAGACATGCCAGATACCATAGTGGGCACTGGGAGTATCACAGCAGACAGAAGGAATCGTTTCTCTGATGGTGCTCACATTCCAGTGAAAGCAGACAAGTGACAAGAAAGAGATTATTCCACAGGTGACAGCTATTTGGAGATCTTTAAAGAGGGAAAGGGGAGGCTGGGTATGGTGGCACAGGCCTTTAGTCCTAGCACTCAGGAGGCAGAGGCAGGCAGATCTCTGTGAGTTCAAGACAAGCCTGGTCTACATAGTAAGTTCAGGACAACCAGGGCTGCATAGTAAGATCCTGTCTCAAAAATTAAAATGAAAGGAAATTTAAAAATTGAAGGAAGAATAGTGTGTGAGCAAAGACAACATTTCTGTGGTAACAAGAGAAGTCAATGACAATCACTACACAAAGGTGACATTGGACATTGACCCATGGGACAACTGGAGTGAACCGTGCATGGCACACAGCAATTGTCCATGAGAAAGAACCAACCAGGTAAGTATCCAAAAACTGTTTACTGAGCCCCTGAGGCTGTCCCACAAAATTGTGCTGGGTCTTGAGGAAATGTAATTAGCCATGTGTTATGTTGTCCCAGGCAGGTCACCTACCAAAGTACAGATACCACCAAAGTCCAACTTGGTGATCCATGAGTTTTATTGGGATTATTTACAGGAATATAGGTTAGGGGTTACTTACAGGAGCAGAAATGACTCAAAAACAAACGATATCACCGAAGCCCACCCCAGCATGGGTGACAGCTCACAAAGCTGGGACCTAGAGCACATAGGAAGTTCAACATGTTAGAGAGAGTCCCTTCCAAGTGACTCAATTGGTCTAAACCCCTTCCAGGCAGCTCTGCTGGTTTCTGTCTCTTCCAGGCAGCTGGTCTGGTCGGAGAGTCTTTGCAGCTGGGCTCTGCTCCCATGAGGGGGACTCTCGACTTTCATTACTCTGGCAGGAAGGGGCTTAGGGAATCTGTCAGTTTCAGGGACTTCCTGAAGCTATTTTGAAGTTTTTGTTCATTTGTTTGGCTTTTGGTTTTAGGCTTTTTCCCCCCTGCTTAAGGAGCTTCCCTGTGGAGAGGAATGTGTTCATCTCAGAGGAAACTATTACACAATACCATGGTTTTGTAGAGGGGAAAAAATAAGCTTCAAAATGACTCTATTACAAAGCAGAAGATTTCAGATGTCAGCATGATGTCACTAAATGTCCGAAGGGGGTATTTGTATTTGGTAGGAGGACAGGAGGAAAGCTTCATGAGCTGGGATGTAGCTCAGTGATAGAGCATTTGCCTAGCGTACATGAGGCCCTAGGTTCAAGTCCCAGCACTAGGCAGCACAAGAGGTGGACTTCAGTCATTAGAAAGCTATGAGATTTAGCAGGATTGCGTGTGGAGAAGACAAATGTCTGAACAAATATATACTAACAGGAAAGTGAGATTTTTCTAACTGATGTATCGGCTCAACTGGAACCTCAGATCACAACCCTAGCAACTGCTTAAAGTCAACTGGAGTTTGATAAAGCAAACCATCCCTGGGCCATACCTCTAGTAATTAAACTCAAATCCTGAGCAGTTGAGGCTTGGACAGCACTCTGTTTAGAAAGCTTCCAGTTAGAATGAAGAGAAGAGCCAACGGACAAGAAGGAAGAGTGAAACAGGTACAGAGCAAGACCCAAGCTACAGGGCTAAAGGATCTGAGCTTCATCTGTAGGTGAGGAAGTATCAGTAAAGATCTTCTAGAGCTATTA